CTCTCTGTCCCCTGATCCCATCCACACCCCTGCCCCCAGACAGGCCCCCTGGGACCCCACACCTATCCAACCCCCCCGTTCCCCATCCCCTGACTGCCCCCTCCCCCAGAACCTCTGCCCCATTCAACTGCCCCCTGCTCCCTGACTGCTCCCGGGGCGCCGCTCCCCTTATACAACCCCCCAGCACCGGCCCACTTACCATGCCGAGCAGAGCATGTAGAGCAGCATGTCTGGCTGCCGCTGGAGCCAGACACGCTGCCGCTCTGCAGGAGCGTGCAGCTCCGCCACCCAGAGTGCTGCCCGCGCGTAGCTCTGCAGGGGAGGAGGGGCCGGGGGCTAGCCTCCCCAGCCGGGTGCTCAGGGACCAGGCAGGACAGTCCCACGGGCCGGATGTGGCCCACGGGCCGCAGTTTACCCACCTCTGAGATAAAGGCATGCTCCTTATAGGAATGTACTTTTGTTTTCTAGATTTTGAAATCTATTATGCTTCTGATTTTGCTGCAATATCATCAGATGTTAGAAGGCCTTTCCAATGTATCTTCAATACACTTTATAGAAAGACTTTAATGATTTGTAATTATTATTTTACTATCACACCAATATTAACTGAATCTGAAACTTATTCTCATACGTAGGTGCTGCATTTTATTTTGGGAAAAACAGTCATACACTATATCGAAGAATTAACTTTATTATGAGTCCAAAGATATCGGACGTATTCACTAGCACAAAACTACCACTGGAAATTATGTCCAGCTCTCTGGAACATGAAACAGGAGCATCACCAAAGCTTGGTATTATGCAAGGTAATGAAATAAACCAATGCTCAAAAACATTTTGATATAACTACTGCTTATCCATTCAAAAATAGGAGTTTGTACAGAAATACAAAAAATTGATTGATATTAAATCTATTGTTAATCAGGAGTTGTTAAACATATAACTTAACTCTCTTTATTGTGTATCAGTAAACTTTATAAAAAGTAAGTTTAGATTCAGCTTGACACTGCCCCATATGCACTGATGTGTTTACTTGTAACTACAAGACTCGGTAGAGACTGGATCAGGAACAATTAATTTTGTATTTTTCGCAAGTATTCTCAGTAGTAAATATTTACTAGAGGGGACTTTATCTAGAATGTCATGCCATCACATTTTGTTCTATCAATTTTGACAGAGTTCTTTCAACTACCAAAGGAAAGTTGTGGGTTTTTTTAAAACTGGTACCAAAGAGATTTCAAGGTGAGATACTGTATATGAAGTTGCAGCCTTAATCCTGTTCTCATAGCTAAAATATAAAACCATGAAAAACAGAGTAATCATGAAGTCTCAAAACTGACAGACCCTTAACTATAACAATTCCAAGTCATGGCAGGTTATATGCAAGGGATAGCTCAGTGGTTTGAGCATTGGCCTGCTAAACCCAGGGTTGTGAGTTCAATCCTTGAGGGGGGCATTTAGGGATCTGGGGCAAAATCAGTGCTTGGTCCTGCTAGTGAAGGCAGGGGACTGGACTCAATGACCTTTCAAGGTCTCTTCCAGTTCTATGAGATAGGTATATCTCCACATGTAGATTTGCATGATGTTGCTAATGAACTTTACATACAGCATTACGTATTCTCCAAAAACACTAATCCCACAATAATATAGTTATTTTACTATGCATGATTTTATCAAGAGTGATTTGTAGTTTTGGATAATCCCACAATGCTTGTAAACAGAGCAACAAATATGTTTTGCTACTCAAGTTACTTCATATATGGAATCTCAACCAGTGAGAAAGAGCAGGGACAGCATGGTGATGAGCATAGGAAACAGAAACCAGAAATTTCTGAGATCTAAACCCAGTCTTGACAGTGGCTCTCTGTGTCCTTGGGCAAAACAACCTCTCTGTCTTGTTCTCTACAGATAGGGGAAGAGGAGAGATTATAGTTAAAGACAAATATTACCGCTAGTAATTTAGGCCTTGAAACCACAGTCTAATCGCTGAGTGGGGACCCCTATGATTATGCAGAGACCCACTGAGTTCACTGGGACGCCGTGTGGGCATGCATATGCTAAGGTTCACCAGACTGCAGGGTACAGGCCCACAACAGTATTTAAACCAACAGTTACTTGGGAAGGTTTCAAACTATTTCTGATTTTAATCCCTGTTTTTGATTTAGATAGAGGAGAAATTTACCTTCCATTGCCTACTGCTGAGAAAGGCAAGACGACTTTGTTATTTGCCAACACATTATGTTTATTCAAATGTGCTCTCTTCACTACAAGTACCAAATGCTTAACTCAAGCAAGTTACAGCATTTGGACACCATTACATCACCCTGTCTGGTATACTTTAATGTAATTTGGAAATAAAATTTGATTAACTGACAGCATCTTAAAGAGGATACATTGAAGATCAAAATTGAGGACACTTATCCAGTGATACCAAAAAGAAAACAAGTGCAGCCTTTCCAAATAATTCTGCAGAACAGGCCACACAGTCTGTTTTGATGCACTGATATAATAATGACGAAGTTATTCTATGAAAACTGAGTGACAGCAATGCATAATTCTAAACAATGAGATTAAGATTCAAACTAACCAAAGGAAAAATGCACTGTAAGGCTTTTTGCATGGTCTGACATACTATTGCAAAGAGGGAAATATCAAACTGTACATTCCCTCTATTGTTTCAAACAGGATATAGACAGATGCCATCTTTTCAAGATGAAAACATCTTGCTACTGAAGAGTAGTGTCTGCCTCCAAGTGCCTATATTTGTGATATTAATTATGACACATTCTCTGTTTACAGAACTCAACCAAATTCAGATCTGGCAGTAATAGAAACAACTCCACTAAGTCTTTGGAGTAGCACCCATTTACATCACAGTTTAGAATTAGCTTTAGGGGCTGTTTTAATAAATTCAAGTAATAGTCTAGTGCAGTGGTTCCCAAACTTTTGTACTGGTGACCCCTTTCAAATAGCAAGCCTCTGAGTGCGACCCCCCCCCCTTATAAATTAAAAACACTTTTTTATATATTTAACACCATTATAAATGCTGGATGCAAAGCGGGGTTTGGGGTGGAGGCTGACAGCTCGTGACCCCCTGAGGGGTCCCGACCCCGAGTTTGAGAAACTCACACCTTCTTGTCAAACTGTCTTAAATGGGCTATCTTGATTATCAGTACAAAAGTTTTTTTCTCCTGCTAATAGCTCATCTTAATTAATTAGCCTCTTAGAGTTGGTAGGGCAACTCCCACCTTTTCATGTTCTCTGTATGTATATATATCTCCTCACTGTATGTTCTATTCTATGCATCCGATGAAGTGGGCTGTAGCCCACGAAAGCTTATGCTCAAATAAATTTGTTAGTCTCTAAGGTGCCACACGTACTCCTGTTCTTTTTGTGGATATAGACGAACACGGCTGCTGCTCTGAAACCTAACACTAGAGTTAGCTTCTTAGGACAAGTCTACACTACAATCTTAAATCAATCTAAGTTAGATTGACTTACAGCCATCACAGCACTTCCACCAATTTACAAGGGGCAGCGGGGGCGGGGGCGCTGAGAGCCTGCCCAGACCCCAACTGCCCTCCGCGGCTTCTTGCCTTCCTGCTCCCAGCTGGGAGTTGGGGGAAGCTACCGGGGGCTTCTCATCTCTGGTGGGGAGATCCGCAGCTGGAGTCTGGCTGCTGTGATCCTGGCAGGCAGCGGGGATCCTGGGAGACAGTAGGGCTCCCAATGGGGAGCTTGGGTGACAGCCCAAGCGGGGAGCCTGGGTGGCAGCTCAGCTTGAAGCAGAGACAGCAGCCCAGAGCCATAAAATTGACAAGACAGACAGCCAACAGCCGATGTAAAGAAGACACTGTGTCGCCCTAACTACACCAACATAAGCCCTACGGCTCTTGTGGAGGTGGAGTTTTATGTCCGTGTAGTAGGGCACTTATATCTGCAGAAGCAAGGCTGTAGATATGGCACTGCACTTACACTGTAGCGTAGCTGCCTTATGGCGACCTAACTCTGTAGAGTAGACCAAGCCTTAGGGTCACGTCTCCCTTGGTTCTAGGGCCTGATACTATCAGGTATTAAAACCTCAATGATCTCAAAGGAAAGCTTCCCTGTGCTGATTATCCTCAAAAATTAAGCCCTTTCCTACCTAATCACTCTGCCTCCTGAGACTTTTACCCAGACTGTAAGCAAACTATTCCTAACTTTAGTATAGCACCTTTTTAGCTAATTTGTACTTCGTTTATAGAAAGCTGTCACTTCCATTGTGTAGTATTTAATAAAATGTGTGACTTTGAGAAAGCAACATGTAGATGCTACAAGATCTATAAACCAATGTTCCATATCCCAACCCACAATAACTGTCAATAAAATACATTTTCGGATCCAAAATAAATAGTTAAGCAAAGAAGATGTAAAGTACTTTTAAAAAAATCCACGAAAAATGGAGACCAAAGATTTAAAAATCAAAGATTTCTTATTAATCTGTTTACTCCATTAAGGGATAATCAGAGAGTGATTTTCTCCTCAGGCACAATTCTTACAAACAAACATGTATGCATATGACTGTCATGAGAGTGCTTTATAGGATGATTAGCTTAACTAAAGTTTCATGCTCAAGAAGTTTTGTTTGCAGACTGACTAAATGGGACCCACGTTGAAACATAAGGAATATTTGATGCAAAAGAAATAAATTAAGCAGTTTTCTCCCAACAGGTTTACAAGTCTGAGTTATTCTGACGGACTCGGACCAACAAGAGCAGCAGGACTTAAGGCAAACATGTACATTTCCCCACTCAAACAAGATTTAAAAAAACATAGCCAGAGGCCAAAAAAATGAACAAATAGGTTTATCTGACCTAAAATGCAAGTCCGTCTCTTTTCAAACAAGGACACACATGGCAAAGGAATAAAATCTGCAGGAAGATGTAGATTCTCACATGGACCCACGTAAATAACTTCCTTCCCCAACAGGAGAATACAATATGTACACACACAAAACTTACCACTTTGTCCATTAGCTTCCAAGTCTTCTCCACAGTTCTGCGGTCAGCAGCTGCTTGCTTGGGGGGCCCCACGACATCCTGAATAGCATCTATGATGCCCAGAATACGCCCTTTGCGGGGGTTTCCTCCTCGGCCACCTGGGTTCCGGCCATTCAGGGAATTGGCCATCTGGGATCCGATCTTAACAAAAATAAAGAAATAAGAGAATTATCATAAGGTGTCCTAAAGACATTTTGTCATAAAAAACAAAACCATACAGTGAAGTACCATTTCCTTTCCCCAATCAGAAAACAAGAGTATGTTTGGGAACTGGCTTAACTTTTTATGATGAAGAGTATAAACCCACCTGGGCTGAGTTAACACTGACAAGTGACCCTGGATTTGTTGTCAATGTATACATAAAAAAGTTGAGGGTAAATTTATACTTGTGAGTGGACGGACATAGACTTGATTTTACCCCATAAACAAAAAACAAACAAACAAACCCATACATACACAATTGGGAGTACACACTTTCTGCTTCCACCCTCCCTAGACGCCTCATAAAGAAATAAAAGCCACTGGTGAACCTAACACTATTGAAGATCACGTACACTCCCCTGTTTGGTTTTCCAAAGACTCCAATAAACATACAGATGATCATGTACACTCACAGCTCACCAGGGACACAAGCTTGTCACCAGACAAAGGCATATGGACTTCCATTTGCCACGTTTAAAAAAAAAAAAAAAAAAAAAAACGCCTCCAATTAAAAAAAAAAAAAAAAAAAAAAAAGCCAACATGCCTGCGACGAGCAAATGTTTAGGACAACAAAATGAGCCATACATACGGTGTATTATCTTGTATAAAGAGTGAGAAACTGAAGAAGGGGAAAACCTTAAGGAGCAGGAAGGAAATTTCTTCTGTAAATCCAAGCTCCCTGAAGCTTTGTATCACAGTAGAGACAGTTTTGCCCCCTTCTCTGTCCAATCTGAGCGGATGGTGGTGGGGGCTAGAAAGCCAAAAAAGAAGTGCCCCCAATAAGTCTTCCCCTCCTTCTTTTCTCCCTCCCACCTTGTGCGCCTAGCTTCAGTCCCAGAGGCAAGGCAAGGACGCGTCCGTCCACCCACCCTGCAGCGTGTTAAATCCCAGCCGCGTTCCTGGTTCCGGAGGTTAGCTCTCTGCCCCTCGGCAGCCCCACATGCTCCCGTCGCTTTGCACGCACCGGCAGGCAGCAGAGCAGTGGGACTCTCCGGGGTGTCGCTTGCTGCTCGGGGGCGGCCGCTGCCCCCACAGGAAAACAGGAGAGTTAATTCATCATGGCCCGTATCTCGCTAGTCACCCAGGGGGCAGGGCTGGGGGCGTGCATGAAACAGGAGACACCGCACAGCAATCCCCCCGCAGTCTGTGCTACCCCGCTCCTGGAAAGCGAGGCGCGCGCACACGGGCAGGCTTCAGCGAACGCTCCGCTCCGCTCCCCCGCTGAGCTCCGCTCTGCCCTCCCCCTCCTGCTGCTGCAGCTGCTGCGCTCCTTGAAACATACACACACTCCCCGAGCCCAAGTCACTCCCACGCATGCGCACGGGAGAAGAGGCGGTGGGGAGGGGAGAATGGGCGCTTTTCCAGGGGGGCGGGACCCTAAGGCTCAGAACGTTAGCCAATCGGAAGGGGGAAAGGGCTTGCTTGACAGGTCAGGCAGCAAATGGGTGGGAGGCAAGGCTAGGCTGAACGGGCTAGAGCCCCTCGGAAGGCAAGGGGCAGAATAGGCTGGCCTCCAGAGTAGGATTGATGAGGGAAGGGGCCAATGAAAGGGCTAGCCTGAGAGAGGCGGGGCTTCCGGTGCCGCCTCTTTCCCCCTGGCTTCTATCTCTCTGCTTCTTGATTTGGGGGGAGAGAAGAAGCAGGGGCTAAGGGGAAGCGAAGGGGCAAGTGGAAGGGTGGGGGAGGAAAGGAAAGAGGAAGGGGGTAGGTAGGATGGAAGGGGTGGGTGAACTAGGGAGCCAGGGAGCTACAGGAGAGGGAAAGGTGAATTGGGGAAGAGGGGACAGAAAGAAAGAGGAAGGAGTTGATGGGGATAGATCTAGGTTTTCTATAGGGCATGGGAGTCAGTCCTATGGTGAGCCAGGCCCAGAGGATCTGCCCTAAGACCTCTTATGCACTGGGAGAGGGCTTTGCTGTTTTACACTAACTAAGGATCTTGCCTCAGGTTAGGAGGCACTTTTTATAATCTGCCCCGGGGTAGAAAGGGTTTTGTTGTACCTGTTTTACTGACATACACTGTATTTCCAGCCCCAAGTTAAAAAAGTTAGGTCCCAAAAAGTCATGAGATTTTTAACAATAATCAGTTGGGATATTTATATTGGCATGCTGGGTTTTGAACCTCTAAGTGTCACATTTTCAGGTATTTCTCTACAGCCATGAGGGCTAGAAACTTACTTTTTAAAAAATGAAAGCTAAGAGTCTTTCTTAATTATAACTTCCAGGACAGTTAAGAAAAACACCAAATATTGTGAGGCTTGTAATGAAAATTTTGATAGGTAATAACAGTGAATACGTAAAAACCTGTTCCACATATTTATTTGAAAATTTCTCTTTTACATCTATATCCCTTGATTCCCACCAGAGCTCTCTCTGAAGGTTTAGTACTTGTAGTGAAAACTTCTTATCCTCACATTAACTAAATTGTATGTCTCTAAAACATGAGCTTCATGCATAGGATGGATGCAGAATATTGGAATTCAGACTTACCATGGAGATCTGAGAGCAGAATTGTTTCCTTAGATTGTTACTCTTAGGATGAAATATCCCTTGCAGACACTAAAAGTTAAACACTCAATATTTTGATGCAAATTTTGTTTTCATGGAAGTCAATTATTTTTGGGATGATTTATTTCCAAGCTTTAGTTTTCTTTTTCTGAAAATTAACTTCAAAATATGTTTTTTCCGATTGCCCCCTCCCTCAGGATTAAAAAACTTTCTGCCATTTTCTCAATTTAGCTATTAAAATAGTAATATTGGACAGGAAGAATGACTGGAGGAAGCTCTTGACAACAGCTGTATTTCAAAACAGAGGTCTGCCTCATCATCATTCTTATTTACATTGTCATTTATTAAATACTGTAAATACAGGTGTCCTTTCTGTTTATTTAAAATGTGTCTAGTTATTGCTTTAGGCACATGTACAACTATAAAATCCTATTAATAAAATCTGTGCTCAGTGGTTATTGTTTCTCTGCATCTTTAAAATGGAAACTGGGAAACACAGTCCTAAGTGCATTGAAAGGTTTCTCGTTTCACTATCACCTCTGCAAATAACTCTGCTTCCTGTGTTGAAATCCTGGTTTATGACTTTCTCTATAGATGTCGTTTCTAACTTTTTTTTTTTCTGTTGGAGCCCTGCGTAGGATGAAAGGTGTCACCAGTCAGTCATGAGGCAAGATCTGGTTTGTTTCATTGTGGGAAAGCTAGAAGGTACAGCAGTAGCTTGCTGGTGTGAGTAATGATTCCCCTGTGGGATAGGCATACTGAAAGGGCCCTGGAGGGGGTTGGTGGAGGACTGCTAGGAAGGTGGCTGAAAGGAAGATGGATGGACAGACCAGCAGACAGCTGCCCTGTGATTGAAGGGTCCAGGGCTATGTAGTGTAGCAGAGGAGAACATAAGTCCTGCCTATAATGCCAATTAGACTGGTAGTGCAGAAACCCTTGTATGTCAGGAGTGAAAAAGTTGGGGAACCTGCCAGCAGAGATCTTCACCTACTCCAGGCTACTGATGGAGTCCTGAAGAGCCCATTGAACTGCAAAGAACTGATGGAACCCTGCAACCAAGGAAGGACTCCAGCTGGAGAAAATGAGGGACCATTTGTAGAAGCCTTGTTTAACTTCTTATTTGGCCTGGGTGCAGAGGACTTTTGACTTAGCCACTTGGCTGGAAGGCCAAATTGCTGCCTGATTGAAATATCCAACTGTTCAAGAGCAAGCGGGAACTGAGGCTCAGAAATTTGACTTGATGTTAGACGAGGTAAGCCAGCCTTGTTACATTCACCACAGCTGCAGCAGTAATATAGCTGCCTTGGGGGTGAATGTAACTTCATTAGAAGTCATTCAACTTTCTCTCACCACCCCAATGTTTTTCTTCTCTACCCATAACACCTACCACCTCTGATACTACTCTGTGATCCCTTCAGTCTGAAAGATGAAGGTTTACAGTTGTATTCCTGAGTGAATCTCATCAGAGATTATATCTCATCAGATACCTTCTAAGGTGGCAGGGAGCTAGATAAATATATCCTCTTACCAGCAGTTTTAAAATGCTATTAAAGTATTAGGTGCAGCTAATCAGTGTATGTGGTTTGAAAGCCTTTCCTCCTTATCCCCAGCCCTGATGGGGTAGCTTTTGGCAAGTACAGTCAACTAAAGATGAAGGGGCTTCATACCCCTGTAAATAAGATTGTATGCTGGCCCTGTGTATGTTTCCTAAAGAGCATAGCTACTATAGCATACAGTAGATTGATTTAAGCCCTTATGAGAGTTACTCTTGTACAACTAATATCAATTATTTCAAAATCAGAATATTAAGAGCTGCTCCTTTCTAATTAAAACACTGATTACTCCATTAAGCATCCAAACACCTTTAAATTTTCAAAGGCATTTGTCAATGTTTTGACTGGATATGCAGAGTATTTCCAAGCAACAATGAGAGTACCACATTTAGGATGTATGGATTCTGCAGTGCACTGTGCAGCTCAACGAGTTACATGTTTAACAAGGTCAAGCACTTATACAGTGCTTTTCACTCACCAGTCATTGTGCACTAACAAGTCCAGATTCCAGATCAAGAGAGAGACTATAAATAAGTGCTTTTTCCAGAGCCTTAAAATCCCACCTTTCTGCAAGAAAGGGAACTCTCCCTACAGGTGTTTTACAGCTCCAGGACTATTTTTTTTTCCAAATATATTTTAATTATTCAGTTATAGAAAAAGGTATAATGTAATGCCTTACACTTTAAAATACATAATATGTTACTGTGTCCATAAACAGTACATAATGTCACGTTACTGTGTCTAGTCATGCAGTCACCATTATGAACCTTTAATTGGCTCAATAAGTAACAAAAAACACTTTTTATATTATCATTAACTACTTTGTAATGCCTCTAGCTGTGCTAGATTATTCAGACCTATAAGGCATAAGAAAATGTAATCTGTTTGTTTATGGTTTTGGGAGTAGTTCGGCTGCCAGCCAGTATTAAGTATAATTATACCTGACTATGCATTTAGAGTAGAACATATTTACATGTTTTAATGCAGTGAATTTATAGAGACAGCAAACAAAACTAATCACCTGTGGTATTAAGGATTATCTCTTACCCATTATTAATGCTTGTATTAATAATAGACTCAATGTCTATTACAGAGGCTAAATATTTCAAGAGAGAAATCCAGTAATAACAATGGTAAACTTGGCTTTACATTGCCACAGTAACTTGATAAGTATTAAAACCAAATTGTTAAAAAGAAATCGTGGGCTAAATATCTGTACATCTTCTCCTTTATAGCTCTCAAATACTCAGTTCTAGTTTTTGTTTTTAATTTGTGTTTTTAATGCTTTCGAGAAATTTCAAAGCTGACTTTCAATGATAGCATAGAAATGTCTTTTCCTTATAGCTTGATCTAAAGCTTTTCCACAGGACTACTGCATCAAAGCTGTCTCTTTTAATCTTTATACAGTGGCCTGCACAATAGGGACCCATTCTTGTTTGGACACGGCAAACTACTGAAATGCAAACAATAATAATCAATACAGTAATGCAACATTAATTCCCTCTGATAAAGACTCACTTGCCTCCCTTTTCCTTGACTGGGATGTTGGGTCAAATTCTGGAATCTTTTATCTATGTATTGTAATATGGATCGTCTTACCTGTAGGTCAACTCTGTCTGGATTCAAGATGGTAAAACTTGTTATCTCATAGCTGTTTAGTGTCACCTATGTGAAATGAGCTCATTGTCAGTCCAGTTCCTCAGGTACAAATATCCACATCACAAAACACTATTGTGTTTGATGCTCACGGGCAGGGCCGGTCTTAGGGGTGGTTCACTCAGATGACCGCCCAGGAGCGCCATGATCATGAGGGCACCATGCGGCAGCGCAGAGGTGCACACTGCTGATGTAGTGTCTGAAACTGCTTCAGGCTGGCAGGAGAGCACCGAGTCAGGGGGCACCGAGATTTCTTCATGCTTCCTCCTGGAGGAACATGGGGGGAGGGGCGAGCGATGATGCAGATACTGCTCACACCCCCCCAACATTCGGGGGCTGTGAGAGGAGGAGCGAGGAGCAACATCATGTGCTCCCTGCGTCCAGGTCACTTTCCCCAC